TGTGTGTGTGTGTGTGTGTGTGTGTGTGTGTGTGTGTGTGTGTGTGTGTGTGTGTGCGTGCGTGCGTGTGCGTGTGTTTTACAGGTTATTTTTGGTTTAAGATCTCTCACACCCCGTTGTGATGGGGGTGAGGCAGATTGTGATTAATTAGTGTTGTAATAAAACAAGATTAATGTGTTTAATTTGAGTTATTAGGCCTGTGTGCATACTGTTGAGAATATTGTCTATGTATTGCCTTCAAAGACTGATAGAGATGGTCTGCCAAGTTGATTTATTTTATTTTATTTTTTAGGCATAATCATAGGCAAAATTAAAGCATTGTTTGCATTTTTTGTGTTTCTATCTATCTATCTATCTATCTATCTATCTTATGAAACCCCGTTTCACCACAGAATTAAAGGGGTCATATGATGCGATTAAAATTTTTCCTTTCTCTTTGAAGTGTTACAAGCTCTTGGTGCATAAAGAAGATCTGTAAAGTTGCAAAGACTAAAGTCTCAAATCCAAAGAGATATTCTTTATAAAAGGTAAGAGTCAGCCACGCCTACCTAAAACGGCTCATTCTAACACGCCCCCACATGTCTACGTCACGATATTGATTTGCAAGATTTGCATAGCGCCGCCCAAATGTTCACGCAAAGAAAGAAGGCGTAACTTTTATTCTCGCTGTAGTATTGTTGTTGCCGCCATGTCATGAAGACGCTGTGTGTGTCGTTGTGAAAGTGAAACTACTTTGTTTGGCCTTCCAAAGGAGGATGATATCCCCTTCATCATGCCTAGAGTTGATACGTGCTGGTCGCTGAGGAAATACATCAGCTTAGTGCTGTGGATCGCCGGATCGGCTTTGAGGTATTCGGCCAATCACAACGCACTAGACAGCTGGCCAATCAGAGCACACCTCGCTTTTCAGACCGATGAGCTTTGTAAAATTTTGTAAAAAAAAGTTTCAGAAAGGCGGGACATAGAGGAGAAACTATAATGTACAGTATGTGGAAAATAATGTGTTTTTTGAACCTTAAACCGCATAAACATTTCATTACACCAAATACACAAAATAATGTTATTTTTAGCAACATCATATGACCTCTTTAAAATATATATACTGTATATATATTTTTTTAATTACGACTAATTATCTCACAATTCTGATTTTTTCTTGCAATAGCAAGTTTACATCTCACAATTCTGACTTTTTTTTCTCAGAATTGCTTGATATAATCTCGCAGTTGTGTGTTAAAGTCAGAATTGTTGAGATACAAACTCGCAATTCTGGCTTATGTCTCACAATTCTGGCTTTCTTTTTCAGAATTGTGACCTTATATCTTGCAATTATATCTTATATCTTGCATATCATGCAATTCAGAGTAAACTCACGAAAAAAAATTGTGACAAAAAGTCGGAATTATTCAGTGGCCGAAATGGCCTTCCATTATCTATCTATCTATCTATCTATCTATCTGTCTGTCTGTCTGTCTGTCTGTCTGTCATTTTCCACTTTACAATACTTTTTTATACTTTACAATGCTGTCACATTTGTTTGCATTGTAAATGTATTAGCTATCATGAACTAACGATAAACAATACTTGGTTAATGTTATTTTTTTACAAGTACCAATATATTTTTTACCATTTAACTACATTTAACAAATGTTAATTAACAATGAACAATAGTGTATTTCTAAATTAACATTAAATTAAGCATAAACAGTTTGAATAAATGGTATAAAAATATGAACAAACAAAATAAAACACCTACTAAAAGGTGTCAAAATATTTTATTTGTTTGCCTGCATGTCATGTGACCATTAGCCAACATCAGAGATCCATAAACCTGTGGATGTGTTGTTAAATTATTAAAATTATTGAATGTCTCTGGGTAACCAGAGGCTACTGACCAATTTATTTAATACAGATAAAAAACAGTCTGTATTAAATGAATTTGTAACCATTTTAGAAAGGAAAAAATATATAAGTAAACATAAAAATAAATACAAAGAATAATATTTTAGTTTTTCTTAAAAGATAAATATGAAGGAGTCCATATTTTATTTGACATAAAAATGCAATATAGAATCTAAATCTATAGACTATCCAAACTTTTTTCAAAAGCACTGATTTCAAAGCACTGATCAGACTGTTTAGACCTCACTCATTAGTTTGTTTTTATGTGTTTATTGGAATTAAAATGCCTGTGATTGCACACAGCATTTATACGCTCACAGAAACTGGCTGTCATTGGTTCCAAGGTTTAACCACAGCTAAAACATTCAATTCAATTCACATTTATTTGAATAGAGCTTTTCACGGTACCATTTCAAAGCAGCTTTCAGAAAATGAATGTTTCTACATTACAATTAAGAGTGATCTGTTTATCAGAGGTGACTGTGTCAAAGTAATGTTCATATGGCAGAAATGTACAATTCTAAGTTTATACAACTCGTGCAGTTAATGTATGTCATGAATTCATTTAAGCACAAACAATGAGCACAACTGAGAAAAATTAGACAATTTTGACAAATCGAAAGCACTCACAATCAGTATTTTTCATGATTAGTTCATCGCAGCACCTATAATGCTAATTGTGACTGTAAATAATATTGATATTTGTGGTTTTCACAGATTATCCATGACAGGATACGAACACACATGTCCCGTAGCAGGCTGATGTGGAATTCTTTG